ACTTCAAATAACTTTTATTCGCTGAATCGTGGTGGTAGTGGACTGTGGAGTTGGCTATTATTATGGATTGTTATTGACTGGGGCATATGGAAAATCTTTGGTCAAGTAGACCGATATAATGTGTTACTATCGGATGGTACACTTGTCACTAGTAAGAATGTCGATTCAGAGCGACAATGCATTCTTATTCATTAGGAAAACTTGAAAAGAACGGGGTGCACTATTCTTTTTTTGTCCACAAAAGTTTCGCAAGAAATCTATATGGACGAGATCACCAAAAGTTTTGAACAAAAGTAAGGTGCTGATAAATCAAATTTCGAGCACAATTTTCTTTTTCATCGATTTATACATGAAATAAGAGAAATAATTCTAAGCGGTGAATTACTTTTAATTACTCAAGTTTCTACGCCTTAACTTGGTCTGCTGTACAGCTAATTGAATTCCATAGACAAGTTTCTGTCATTCACAACCAACTGTTCGAGGAGTACTTCGAGTGCTCGAAAATATGCTTCCTATGAGTCCTCGCCGAGGGCTCGGAAGGCGAAAACATCTCCGATCGACGGCTCGAAATTTTTCTCGAGGGTTCGGTTCCTGTCTGAAATCGGAGGGCTAGAAATCAACACTGCTCGAAAGCTTATATGGACGGTCCGAAGTGTCATTTTCAGAGGGTTCGAGCCCTCAGCGAGGATCTATTTTCGAGTACTAGTCGCACTCCTCGAACGACTTTTTCCATCTGCATAGGTTAGATGTGCTCAGATGATCAAAATATGAACTGTTTTTTGGTCGAGTTTTATTTAATAACAGAATCACGCCTCCTTCTCATATTCGCTTCAATAACAGTAGGAAGATGAACCTTTATCGTTTTGATTTTCATTGTTTCGGATAGCGCATACACTTGTACAAACAAAATAGTATTTTAATTGCTATGGGTCTATTAACAGAATAAAATGAGACTTAATGCTTACTCCAGGATTCAAATACTAAAACCAAAAGAAACTTGTTTTCGGGCTGTCAGCAACCTTTTTTTAGTAAAAAGAAATATGATATTTGTAGCTAATACAGTCGATAACATTTATCCAAGTTTGCGCTGAAATCTGGGAAACATATTTCGATTTTCCGAGATGAAACCTTAGATATAATATTTCCTCAAAAAGACGTTATTTTCGTTTTTGAAAAGTAATATCATGTAAGATGCCGACAACGGAGCACAATTTTCTTTTTCGTCTACTTATACATGGTTGGATAGCGCACATCGAGGTGGTTGGGAAAATGAGACTTTTAGAGTTTTTTCAAAACATTTTTGTAGGAGAAAATTAGAAAGTTTTGAAGATAACTCAGTTTTGAAAACAACGTCTCATTCCCGGGAAAACTCAATTTTCCAGTTTCAGAATTGTTTTGAAAGCTCTTATTTTTTTGAATTTGGCATGGAAAGAGCTCTGTGTGAGATTTCTAGAATGTAAAACGAGATTCCAGTGTGTAAATCAGGAACAAACGTTCGAAAGGGCCACCGGATCAAATCCAATGGCACAATCACCTTGGCTATATCTCTTAACAGAAAAAAGCAGACGGGTTTGCGAAATTAGTTTCTGATGCCAAATTCAAAAAAATAAATTTCGAGCTTTCATAACAATTCTGAAATCGGAAAATTGAGTTTTCTTGGAAATGAGGTCTTGTCTTCAAAAATGAGTTATCTTCAGCCGACAGTCGGAAAACAAGTTTCCTTTGTTTTTGCTACTTACATCTTGGATTCAGGATTAAGTCTCATTTTATTCTGCTAATAGATCATATCAGTTGAAATACGAACTTTGTCTGTACAAGTGTATGCGCTATCCGAAACAATGAAAATCAAAACGACAATAATCCATATTCTTACTGTTATTGAAACGAATAGGAGAAGGATGCGTGATTAGGCCTGTGACAGTAGGCGGTTCTCGTTCTTTGAACGGGAACTGTTTTTCAGTTGCCGTCCAATAAACAGGAACGGTTTTTCAGTTGTCGTTCTGAACTAGGAACGGTTCAGCAGTTGACGTTTCTAGAAACGAGGAACGGTTCACCAATTCTGGTTTCGCGAACGGGAACTACAGTTTTTTTTGAATTGGAAACTGCTCAGTGTCCTTTGTGATTTGTTGATATATTATGTATTTCATTTCGCAAACATAAAATTTTGAAAGAGTGAGCGTTGGAAGGAGATATGCTCAAAGAGACTCTCAGATTAGGTGGTAGATTTTACTGATTGAATTTAGTTCGTTACTTCTTAAGATCTTGATATACTGCTTAATATACTGCAATACCAGCTACAAATGTAGCTAGCGAAAGTACATTTTCGCTAGGTTGGTACTTTACCTTTACTTTACTTGTAACTAGTAACGAGTAACTACTGTCGTTACTTAGTTACCTCGTTCGTTATTTCACCAGAAAGTAACGAACTTTCCGTTACTTTCTGATGAAGTAATGAAAGGAACGAAGTAGCTAAGTGACGAAATGAGTTACTCGTTACTAGTAACTAAATAACTAACTTCGTTACTTTACCTGGTAAAGTAACGTCGAGTAACTAGTAAAGTACCATCTCTAGTCGAAAATAGATTTCTGACACGGTTGATGGTGGAGGATAGGGCACATTACGCTTTTATTGACCGCAAATTAAAATACTGTTAATTAATTTTTCATCAAATTTTTGTTTTTAGTTGACAATGATGCATATGGTGCAATTTCATTTATTTTAACAATTGTTTTTGTCTGTATAGCAGCTGTACTCTTGATAAATGTATTAGTTGCGTTATTCAAGTATGTCCGCTTCTACTGCATTTTTATAACTGAATAGTCAAATTTTTGCTTTATACTAAATAGTCGTAGAATTGAAAAGTTAGACAAAGATAAACAAGCTGATGAGGCATGGGCTTATCATCGTTTTTTATTATATGAAGAATATTCACGAATATCAATACTGCCACCACCGTTTAGTGTTATTCAATATTTAGGTGAATTAATTTTGACAATTATGAAAGTATGCAAACCTCGATCATTATGTAAGTTTAAGTAGAATGATTATATATGACTACCAGCGCTGCTAATCGAATTTGCTAGATGAGTTCTCATCACTACTATTCGTTCCAAAATACAATAGCATCGTTTGCTTTTTGAATAACTTTTGATAGGTAATAGATGGAGAGGTGCGATTTTCAGTTTTAGAAACTAGAGACCTGTGCCCGTGTTTCTATAAGCGGAAGCGAGTTTCGGAAAAAATTGTCAAATTGGTTTTTGAGGAGATTTTTGGAAAACCAGATCAGAACTCCCGAAAGTCTCATAGAAATGCAGTCGTTTTTTTACATGGGTATGTAGCTACAAGTGTCCTATAAAAAATGGGAGTCAAGCGAGAGCTAGATTTTCTACGGCTCTGGCGTTGTACCGGATTTCCGACGAGTCTCAGGACTGGCACCTGGTGACTCTTCATAGCCCTGATAGCCAATGGACTATAGATAATTGATCATGCTGAGTCTCGTGGCAATATTTCCTTTTAGAAAAAGTTTAAAAGTCTATCGAAAAGGGAGTTTTACGAAAACTAGGGTTTTCAGGCTGTTTTCACCTAATATTAAAAAATTCACTATTCACTCAAAATACATCAGAACGAGTTCAAAACTTCAGGATATAGTTAATTCTGTCCGCTAAACGTGATTATAAGATCGAAAAATCGAAAAATCACCAACACCAGTTAATAACTGGTGCATGCCTAATTGTAAGATAAGTAGAAAGAGTTTAAGACTATTGGGAACCGTAGATGAACTAATAAATCGCGAAGCGTGGAGATGGTATCAACGAGTAGTTGGTTAGTAGATACAACAGGCGATTTATTGTGATTTTAGGTTACGAACTTCTACACTTGTTTTTTTTCAGGCGATCGTGAGTGTGATATAATTGATACATGGTGGCAAACGGAAGCTGATATGTGACAGAAATATGTTTTTTTGAATCAGTATTAATTTCTGTCTTCAATTTGTGTGTTTATAGGTGGAATTATGATTACACCTATAGCTAATATCACAGAAATGGTGCCTGGTTTAGCAACACTTTCATTTTTTGGCCTACAAACACAAATTATTGATAAAGAATCGCGTAATCTATTACAACCACCATGTAAAGGCGAGCTTTGCATTAAAGGTTCATGGCCTGGACAAGCGCGTACAATTTACAATGATTAACATTTTGTCGAAGTTTATTTTGAAACTATCAAAGTAATTAGTTTAATGTTTATCGAACGTGTGTTTTTTTCGTAAACGTTTTATTACTGGAAAATATTTGGTCTGTTATTCTCGTATACCAAAGTCCGAACGTTCCTCAACCTAACGCACACTGCAGTTAGTCTATATCTAGAAAGCCCTCAAAAAACCAAGTCCTTTCGAAGTTTTTTGTATTTGAAACGAAGTGTATTTTGCCTGAGGAAAAGAAATTCATAGTTTTGCAAACTTTTTTATTCTACATGAAAAAAATCACGATAACAACAACAAAAAAAAGAGAATAAAGAGCTACATCTTAAAAAAGTAAATAATATTTTCAAATAAGAAATAGTGCACGAAAAAGAAAAGCAAAAAAGTAAAAGAAACGAAAATTAAGAATCTCTACAATGTAGAGATTCTTAGTTTTCGTTTCTTTTATTAGTGTTGAAACACAACATTTAAAGTGTTGAACACTTTTTAATATAGTTGGATAACCAACGTAACAATTTTTGGTAGAGTATAACAATAATAACAACAGCAGAGAAGATGAGAATTGACGTTTTCATCTAGTGAAATTGTCTTTCTTTTCCAGAGATGATACAATTTACGACCTCTGGCATTGATTTGATTGTGCAATGAAAATATATTCTATCAATCTTCTAATAAGCTTTCTAATATGCTTTAAAGTCTTGCCTATCGAATGGTGAAAGCCGCAAGTCTTTATCTCTTTCGTGTCACGAGTTACTCAGAAAACAGCCGTGGGCCATGGATAATAGCTTGAGTTATCATTTAACGGCTGTTTTCGATGCATCTGTAGACATTCTTTTTCGTATTATATTTTAAAACTTTGGTGTTTCCATAGTTTTTATAAAGAATATAGCAGAAGAATTTAAAATACTTGACAATTCTCGAAATCAATCTGAAGGCTGCTGACCCCAGTTCAAAGCTTTAAAGCACACTGCAAGGCATACAGCGTGTACAATTTCGAAATCCGCCACTGGTTTTGAGTAAAGCTAAAATAATACAGAAGCTAAGCGTGCATACGTGAGATTAAAGCGTAAAAGAGTGCCAAGACACAAAAATCATAAAACTACTGGAATAGAAGCATTGAATATACTGGATCTCTACTTTTATCTTTTTTTTGCTTAGTACTTTCTATTACTAATATGATAGTACAACAAAAACATGTGTCTCTCCAACAATGTGTTACGGCAAGCTCTCTACAACACTAAAATTTACTTTTCTCAGTGCTTTTTCTTCACATCAGTCAGTCCGGTCTCACGAACGATATCCCGTTCGGAATATACCCTATATCCCGAATAGGATATCACAGAAAATTTATATCCTGATCGGGATATTTCTGCAAAACATTTTGGAAAAAATCATTACTGCAAAAATCGTGATGTTATTGCAGAAAAGCGAATATAGCATAAGAAAGCGGATGAAAAACTGAGTCGGAATCAAAGGTGCTCTAGTCTTGGTTTAAGGGTCTACCGTTCACGATTTTTTAAATTCTAGTGGGGATATACAAAAGTCTGATCGGGATATATTTTTATATCCCGTTCGGATTATAAGACTGTACTGACCGTATCTAGATATGCCTTCAGTATACCATATCCCGATCGGGCTACATCCCGAAGAGAATATATATTCTAGCCCGAACGGGATATATATCCTGATCAGAATATCATAGCCCGAACGGGATATATATCCTGATCAGAATATCATAGCCCGATCAGGATATATTTTTATATCCCGAATTGGATATATATCCTCATTGGGATATATATCCTGTTCGGGCTATGAGACCGGACTGTCAGTTCCATTTCCATACCATATTTTACCTAGCACATAAACGTACACATATTAAGTATAAACAAATAAATTTTAAATAAATAAAATTTTCTGTGATCGAACATGACTTTCAGATCCCTAATGTGACGTTTAAGAATCGGTTTTTGATAGTTTCCGACATGTCAGGCCATGAAGTATCTTCTAGTATCAGATTTTTGTTGCTCTACTTGTTAATAGCAAAATCTGAAAAAATTAGGCTTGGATGCTACTTCCTCGTTGAGTTCAACCTCATTGACCTGATCAGCCAAGTGTTTTGCGGTTTACCGGCCTACTATGTACTTTCATCAAAACTAAATTTCATTTCTAAAATCTCCAACGAAGATGAATGCAGTGCCATATTGTGTCTAGATGAGAGGCTTTCATTTTTTCTGTACGGTACCCCTTGAGGAACCAACAATCTTTTTCCTTCAGAGCACCAATTATGGCATTTGATCGAAACGGCAAAAGTGGCATCCAAACCCAATATGTTCACATTTTGCTATTGACAGGTCGAGTAACAAAAATCTGATATAAAAAGATACTTTTGAGATATTTCACGAGCTGACCTGCTTGAAAATATCAAAAACCGATTCTTAAGTTTCTGAAAAAGTGGTACAAATGCGTTCGTGAACCATCCTAACTCTCTTTAAAGCTTTAAAGAACATAGTTATATTAACGGTTTTTAATTAGAAACACCCTCACTAAAACATGAAAGCTAGTACAACGTTCATTTTTTCACAACATTGAGTTTTCCATTTTCTTAATAAGAACAGCCCATCAGGTAATCTTTGTTGATATATTTTTTTCAATTGTTAGTACTGCCTGTTGATGCTTATCAACTAACATCGCTAACACTATAATGATATTAAAACAAAAGCTTTTCTTCATTTTTAGATTCAATTCACAACTCCACTAATCTAATAAATCAGTTCGATAAAAAATCACTTGCACTTTACTGTTTTGAGCTGTAAAACCCGTAGTACCCTTAACGGAAGCATAACTCGGAAAATTGAAGACTCTTAATGTTTTCATTCAAAATATTGAAGTGTCTCTCGCGACTGGTGGAAGGCTTTTCAAGGCAAATTCCTTGCACATTAAGTAGGAATGCAGTTTTTTGTCCCATCATAATAAACGTTCTGTCTATACGTTATTTTTATAGGTTTCGACCACGCAGTAGCAGTTTGTTTTGAGTCGCCAAATACGATCGTCTGTTCTGCAGACGAAAAAAACATTCATCAAGTTCGTGTGTTCGATCCTAGCTTCGTGCAAGGATTGATTTTGTGTTTTGATAGTTTAAGTTTCAGAATGATATAATGGGAATTTATATTCTCGATTTCGTTCTGGTTCAAGATTAAAGCTTA